GTCATATACCTGTCTGTGGTGTGCGTCCTGGGCGTTCTCTCCATCGTTGTCTCGCTGTGGGACAAGTTCTCGGAGCCGGCACTTCGGCCCTTGCGCGCGGGCGTGTTCATGAGCTTTGGTCTGTCCGGCGTTATTCCAGCTATTCACTACAGCATCATGGAGGGCTGGTTTAGTCAGATGAGCCGTGCTAGTTTGGGTTGGCTGATTCTCATGGGTAAGTGTTGCTATAAAAAAGTAGTATAAATAATGATTACTAAGGATAATTCTTAATTTTTAGGCCTTCTCTACATCCTTGGCGCCCTGCTGTACGCTCTCCGTGTTCCCGAGCGCTGGTTCCCTGGCAAATTCGACATTTGGGTAGGCTTTCGGTAGCCGTTTGACCTTTTGGACTTTCCTAACATTCCACTATTTTGCAGGGCCAATCTCATCAGATATTCCACATACTGGTCATCGCGGCTGCTTTCGTCCACTACCACGGCATCTCCGAAATGGCTATGTACCGCGTGATGTACAGCGAATGCACCGTCCCCATAGAACCAATAACCTTCTAGATGCTTAAGTGGACGCCATGGAACAATCATCGTAAAATCACATACAATCCCATACATTTTCATACATATAATGATGCGAACTAGCGCAGTTTTACAATGCAACCTTTTTAGCGTTCGGTGAGCATTTGTACCTTGTTATTCAAATTCGACAGAATCAGAATCGGAATCAAATCCAAGACACAAACACACACAAATTACGCGCATTTATCATCAAAATCTTACATACAAACACCTAGCAAACACAGTTGATTGTCGAATGAAATCTGCAGTAGAGTAATCAATATATGTACAATTATTTATAAAATTCCAATTCGTCTACTTAATGTTATTCTAAGTTGATTGACCTGTCGGGTATCGCAGGATTGCTTGCATCTGGAATTGGCAAAGTGCTAAACATCAGCCAGGAGTCATCGCGCGGTGACTTTCGCTCAGGGTTACCATTGCTATAGAAGTTTTCGAACAGCCAGCCAAGCAAGTTCTACTTTAAGTTTTGAAATTAGATGATCCCCTTGTGGCATTAGTATTTACCGCTTAGAGTTGTTAGGGTTGTATGGACTAGACAACATACATCATCGTTAGTTAAATGAGGTCTGATTTTACACACACACTTGCACACTACACTCCACAAATTTCGCATCCATATCCATGCACACGTATGGAGCCTAAGATATTATATCACCGTATACATTATAATTGCAGATCTATCACAAAACATAATGCGAATCAAAACAATAAAAAACTGAAAAGACTTCTAAACTATCGTTTGGTGATACTTTTATTAAGCCATATATTTTGTTTCTCGACACAAAAACCATCTTTAAGATTGCTGATTGCGATTGGGCAATTCTGTTGCCATCACCCTAATGCCTGGCCATAAATATCGCCCCAGAGAACTAGAAATCCGCATCGGGGTTATTAGTTGATTTCGGTCTGCCTGGCGAGGGCACAGCATTTGCTGCTGATGACTGGGCGAATGCTGAGTTGACTTTGACCCCCTTGATGAAGTGAGCAGCCGTGGTCTAGTCTCCGAGATCTCATCTCGATCTGATTCCTCCGCTGCCTTGTGTTCTATGCGTCTTCATTGTCTTCGCCGTGCGCCAGTTTCTAACCCGAACCCGCAGATCGCTAAACCTTTTATTTTTCCCCTCGCAAATAATCGAACTTTGTACTTGGCAACCTGTCCGCACGTGTCTTTCAACTAAATGCGATTGCAGCTTTTTTACTTAAAAAATTCAAGTTCAGCAACAAAAAAGGCAAATGACTCGGTCAAAATAAGGCAAAAATCAGTTCGGAAGTTGAGCAAAATAGGAGAAAACCAAAGTCAAAGAGAAATATTTTAAAAATGTCTTAATGAGTCGTAATCATGTGCATAGCTAAATGATACAGTGCGGTTTCGATGTGGTGAATTTAGGAGTTTGGTATTCTTTCAAAGAAATAATAAATAATATAAATAATTCTGTTTGTTATTTTAACTGGTTTTTATTATTTTTAATGGTACGGTATTTTTAAGACTTAGGAATATTTCAGTTCACTGATGCTCAAGTTTTGAAGTTGTCACTGTACAATCGATTTACTCATCAAACATCTTGGCTCGTCTATTCAGCCCCCGTGCGCCATTAAATCTAAAAATATTACTAAAAGCCAAAGTATTTTACTTTTTATGTAAAAAAAAACCATGGTGCCGGGGAACATAAAACATACAACACAGTATTCCCGAACCCACGTTGTATAAAAAATGCAAATCAAGTGGCAACAAATTGGTGCCATGTGGGGAAATGGTTTGGCTTTTGAAGGCGGGTCTTGAGTTTTCGGTTGAGCTAGATTTGCACTGATTTACTCCCTTATAAATATCAACTGCTTGGGGCTTTCTGTAATCTTTAGTTTGTTTTGCCAGAAGCACCGAAAATGTGACATGGCTTTCACTTGCAATTAAGTACAACATATTCAGTGGCCAATGCACGCTACTCGTCTGTAGACTAATTACCCTCATTACACATAATTTGACAACTCCACTCAGTGGGCCAAGCTATCCGGAAGCGAAGCTGTCATCGTCGTCATGAGATATGCATCAGCATCCGCGAATCGGTGCTTTGTGCAGTTCAATGTCGGCTCGACATCGGCTGAGCCCAAATACTTATATGCAGAGTTCAGGCAGCCACCCAGTTTCGGCTTTCAACTCTTTATTAATGGTCTTGTGCAGTTGCTTTTATGCGTTAAATTCAATAAACATAGGCTAACTGAGACTGCGAGTGAGACTCAGACTCAGACGCAGACGCAGACTGACAGCCAGCAAGTGGCAACTGGTCTTTGAAGGTTTTTGGCGTTTAAGTGTTATGGTCAAGGCCGTCGAACAGCATCCGCTGTGTGTCCAGTTCGTTAGTTCATTGATTTCCAATCAGCCTCAGTTCACCTCGGTGCCATAATGCTTGCCAAGATTTGGCTGGCTATGGTTGCGTTTTTTCCACCATCAGCGTTCTCCAAAGTGTTACGCATTAATTGAGTTTTAATGTACGCAGGCGATTGCGCACAAGAATTGCCACAAAAAGCGACAAAAACGACCGAAAATTACTAAATTAAGAGCAAAATAAGACAAAGAGAAGACAGAATTTTTTTGTCTTGTCGTCTAACGATCAATCCTATTCTTGCAGAAATACCGAATCCAATCATTTTCATGCAAATTATGCTATCTTGTCAAGTTCAAAAACATTAAATCCGTATAATGCCCAACGCAGACTGGCAATATGTTTTTATTTATTTTCGTTTTGTTGTTGCCAATGTAAAGATGCTTTGAATAAAAAAACTCTAATCGAATGAGTCGTTAAATGAACAGCAGTATCTATAAAGCGATGCTCCGGGGCATCGATGCGAGTTCGTGTCCGAAGTCTTTTGTTTCCGCCAGGCGACATTGACTTTGAAATGGTTTGAATTGAAGACAAAAGTGAAAATTCGTATGGAAAATTTACGGAAATCATCGCTTAACAATAAACTGATTAAAAGGTGACTTTTGTAGCTTGTTTGGAAATAAAGTCCAACTTCTTTAGCTTTAAATCAATAAAAAATGTCACGTTTGTAGATTTGGGGTGTTTCCTAATGCTAATATTTCAGCTTATCTATAAAACATTATCAACAAGAATAAGAATTATTTGATGGCTTTTTTATTTAATTAAACATTATTTCTTAATGACTTTATTTGCCATAAAAAAAAAACGATTAAAAAGGCTTAACATAAAATTCGTAATGCGAATATAAAAAAATACTTAATTATTAACGGAATATAAAATACTTGGTTTTTCAAACTTTTAGATGAACAGAAAAAATTACTTAAATTATAAGAAACATGTCTTGGGGAAGTTTGGCTGTCTTCCGATTGCTTACTTCGATATCGACTTATTTTGGCACGCCTTGAAATGGGTTCAAACGCGGGGCTCGTTAACGTAAAACGAGCTGCGTAGAATCTTCCTCAAATTGCCAAAAATATTTAGCAATTGAAATGAGCTGCGCCGCATAGAGCACCTCCGAAATGAGATTCGGGCACGCGTCGGGCATGCCAACATGCCAGCAGAGGCGACCTTCGCAATGGCGGAAGCTCGATTGAAATCGAATTGGGCATCGGCCGGATCGGAATTGGATTCGGAATCAAAAGATTAGCGACAACGGCGATCTGTGAATGAATCGATGGAATTTCGGTGGTTTTTCGGTGAATCGGTGAAGTGCAGGTTGTGGGTGTGTCGCGGCAATCACTTGGCAACCAAATGAAGCGCTCTTAGCTGCATTTTTCACCTGATTGAGCAATTAGCAATGGTGGCAAATGTCAGTGCGTCTTTGGACCCATGTAGACTTCTTTTCAGCCCCACACAATGGGTTAGTACGCGGTGTAATGCAGTTTGCGAGTCTGCGACTGAAAACTGCGACTTTGCGAGTGAATGAGGGAATGACGCGGCTGAAATCCATCAAGTGGCCACTGGAAGCTTTGGGCCGGAGGCATTTTGGGGCCATTTAATTGCACAATCATTTTTGCACACTACACACAACTCCCGCAGCCAAGGCATATGGGCCAGTCGATGATAAATGCAGTCAGGTTTGGTTTCTGTTATGATTTGCTCGACTGCCAGCTGCAATATGCACTCTCATAAATAGTTTCTTACCGCAGAGAGGCGGTGGTTCATCGAGTTAATTATCGACTTTACATTACAGCTCTTCGTATATTTTATGGCCGATGGGTAATTAGCTGGCGAGATCCTAGAACTGGCCCTTAAAAACACGCAACGACTGCCAGTCAGCTGGATCTAAATCTCAATCTAAATTCTAGCCGAAGCTCACCGCTGCTGTTCACCTGTTGCGATCGTCGGGTGAGTCCGAATACGAACTGCCAGCGCGAATCTTGGCCGAAAGCGAGGCGCTCGTACTCGTATCCGTGATACGATCGCTACAAGACCGCTTGTAGGGCCCGGATATCGCTTAGTCTGCTGTCGGCGCCTCAACTGCCAAGTAATCGCTGGGTAACCGTGGAGCACGAGATCTCGAGATCTGCCGCCTCGTGTTCTGAGTTCTGATCGACAACGCCGCGTATGCGTGATATTGCCTCGAAGGATAACAGAAAGTGATTAGCCTTAGTGTCTGTCCTTCGCCGGAGCCGTTCTGTGCGTTCGTTTGTGCCGTGTGCCGTGTCGTACCGCAAATAAATCACTGACGTCCGTTCAATATTTTTTGGCTCTCCCCGAATTAATTCACCAAAAAGGCAAGTGTTAAAGAACTAAAGGAAAAAAACAATGGGAAATTGTGTTCAGATTTTATGCTAAGTTATGCGCACACGACGGCAACCTGTTAAAGATTTGAGACATTTTTGTTGGCCTGGGGTCATTGCGAAACGACACCCAAGCCCAAAGACCTGGGACACGGACGAATTCGAAAGAAAAATACAAACTAAATATTGTATAAATAAATAACATGGAAGAGCGGAGAGGCAAAAAAAAACAGAGGGGCTTACAAAACCAGCTGAAATGCCCGGAGATGAAGACGAAGATGGCCAGCAAGTCGAAGTCGGTTCGAGTGGGCCAAGTCAATCACATGGCTAATGTGGCTCATATGTAAATCGCCTGGCGATTGATCAACTTTAAACGTTACTGTAATCCCTCGCAGATGAAGACGAACGCATCTCCACCTGATAAAAAAAATGCCACTACCAGTTGCATTACCACAGCTTTGTGCACAGGGAAAAATAATATATTAAACTAAATAAAACGGAATTTTAATGGATTTTTGTTAGTTTTGTTTTTGCAAAATATTTTTATAATTTAAATGAAATAATTCATACTTTTATTTATTCAAAAGTTTAATTTAATATCAGTTAAATTGATGATTGATTGAATTTTTTTGTGTGCATATGGCATCCAATTTCAGTCAGCATTATATCATCTCTGAGCTCTCTTATTTAGCCCTGAATTTCGCGTTACATTTTCGACACAATGGGAACAACTGGACAAGTTTGCGATATAAATAACAATCAGAAGAAGTGCTAAATGAAGCGATACACATCGATGGAAATCCCAAAATCAACTTGCCCATTTACGTTTATACCTTACGTTTGGTCCAAGCTGCGATGTGATAAGAACATGACAAGTTTATTGGGCTTGGCAGACTGTTGATCTTTTATTTCGAAATAAACTGACCTATATGCCATTCATTCATAAAAAATTTAATTCGAATATCACGCTGCGTGCGATCATACAGTTGCCAGCAATTTTTCACCAATATAATTCGGCTGGAATTGCCCTTGGAAAAAGGCGGCGATGGTGACGTTCACGCATGCGCACAATTTGTTTATTTATGATTTTATTGTTGTTTTCTTGTTTTCTTGGCGTCAACACCCGTTGAGATAGTCGGTTAGTTAGTCAGGCGGAGAGCGAAATTGCCATGGTATCTTGGGATCGCGGTCCCAAAAAAGGTTTCTGCTGCACATCCGTTCGCACGTTGGCGGAATGGGTGACTTTGCCTCATGTTTATGACCGACTCTCCGGTGACATTTCTCGCCCCGGCAAATTACATTTTAATATTTTGAATCCAATTGGGGTCACATGCGCTGGCGGTCACACCTACAATAAAAGCCCGAAAGGTCCACTGAATTTCCATCTGGTTTTGGGATTTCTTACGATTTCTTCACCTCTTCATCTTTCCCTCGGCCGAGTGCGTTTCCAAGTGACTTGTTTGCCCAACAAGGCGGCACTGGGTAGCTTGGCCAGAAAAAGCTGATAATAATGGCAAGGCAAACAATTCCCCAGGCAGAACAAGGCGATGGCGACGATGATGATGATGATGATGTAGGTGATGACAATGGCAAATATTGGAGGTCAGAAGTCGCACAGAATGAATATTTATGGGATATATAAAAGGGGGAGGTGGTCGGGGCTTGCTTATATGAATGACTAGCTCATTCTGGGCACCCTTGAGCTGGACCAAATGATTCTTGCGAATGCAAGTGCAATGACATTAATGCCAAAAACAAATAATGGGCTAAATAATGATCATTGAGTGAGGAAAAACTTGATGACTGTTTATCAAAGGCTGTTAATTGTCGCGGTATTTTTCCCAGTTGGAGAACCTAATTGATCATAATTAAAAGAAGGGCCCGTCATATTGCTGGCGATCTCAGTCGCATCGACAGCCCATCGATCGATTTGATTTGTGGCATGCGCAATTAGAGGCTATTTTTTCCCCCTTCGTAATTTATTCTGTTGCTGTCCAAACGAAAGACTGAAACAACGAACTTTGACTGGTTTTTCGTGTACATTTGCAATGGGAGATCTTTACAGGTAATTGCATATTTATAAAGACAAATTGCCAATATTTAAATAATCCAATAACAGAAGAAAGCATATGGAATAATTTACATTCGAGCCGCCTTCGTCAATGGAGGGTGTAGAATTGCCGATCTAATCGATTGGCTGTCGTCTATCCCACACATCATATACCCCGATCGGTATCGATCTAGACATATAGCCAATGAGTTGACTCAATTAGCACTTACAGACATTTGTAGTAATGGAAACTTTGTCAAGTCCAGTTAATTGGACACAGGAATGCTCCCGGCATTCAGTTAATCTAACATTCCTTCTGGAATGTTTTCATTTTCTGTGGTCTCAGTCCGCCACGCGGAAGTCGATGAGGTGGCTTTAGCTTAAATCGACTAATTTATGCGCCTGCAGCAGCTCGCACTAGACACTAGTTCAAGGTCAGAGCACAAACTAAGGCTAATGCAAAATAGTAAGCCAATAAAATTCAAATCGACATACGAAAATAGACTAAAGCACAGATAATACGCCTCCAGTATATACATACGTTCATATTTGTTTGGCTAGCCACGCCCGAAAGATCCGCATATCCGCACTGGGAGCGGATAATATAACCGAATCTCAAGCTGCTCTCCAATGCAAGAGATCAGGTCTGCGGCTTCGCTTTTTGTTTCCTCAAAACGTGCGACCTTCGCAGAGATTTTAAATGCGTTGCCGATGCCGAAGCGGTTGCCTTAGGTCCATTCAATCGATTGATCAGAGGCTGCCGCTCCGTCTTCGAATTCAATATTTTGTCTTCTCTTTTGTTGATTTACACTGGAAAAATAGCAGTGATGCATTTTGTGATTTTTTTAAAATTTTGTTGATATTAAAAAGAGTTCTAAGTCCTTCTTAATACATTTCACCATTTTATTTAAGAAAATAATCCAGTATTTGAATTTATTTTTTTCCGAGTGTTCGAATATTATGCTATTCGAAATATATTATTCTGGCGTCCTCAACATTCCGAGCTCAGACCTTCCCGTGCGGCCTCTTATCAGCCTAGAGTCGGAAAAAAGTCTGTAAATGGAATAAAACTTGACTACGAAATCCCCAGCATAATGAGCCGCGCATCGCGCATACGCCCCATGTGCTTGGCTGACCAAAAATGGTGGCCAGCTTGGCGACAGAACAAAACGTGCGAATCTTTTGCGCGGCGCGTGTCCAGAATTTATCGGCCGACTTCTATTTCTACTTCGGCTTCTACCCGGGCTGATTATCGCATAATAATAAACTGGAATGTGACGTCAGAGCAGCGGGTGATATGTATTTATACATCTATTTACTTTGCCATTATTTGGCTTCATTTAATATTTACTCTGTCGTCGCCACGCACTCTCGTTCACTGTCAATCGCTAATTGGCATGCAAACGGCCGTCAACATTATTGGAAAAGTAGCTAGGATTTGCGCAATGTTTATACCCGTTACTCGTAGAGTAAAAGGGTATATTAGATTCGTGCAAAAGTATGTAACAGGTAGAAGGAAGCGTTTCCGACCCTATAAACTATATATATTCTTGATCAGGGTCACTAGCCGAGTCGATCTAGCCATGTCCGTCTGTCCGTCTGTCCGTCTGTCCGTCTGTCCGTCTGTCCGTCTGTCCGTCTGTCTGTCCGTCTGTCTGTCTGTATGAACGCTGAGATCTCGGAAACTACAAAAGCTAGAAGGTTGAGATTTCCCACACATATTCTTTGGCTTCCTACGCAGCGCAAGTTTATTTTAGCCGAGCGCCACGCCCCCTCTAACGCCCACAATCACCCACTAACGATTTTAAAATGGGTCCTGCGCCCACATCCTTAAAGATTTCCGATAAGTATAAATGCAATTTTGTTGTGTATATTTATACCTATCGAAATGTAGAAGACATTTTTCAAATCGGACCATTCATTAAAAAGTTATACGCAATCAAAAAAAATATATCTATCTCCCTCGCACTCCCTTTAGCTGAGTTACGATTATTAGTCGGGACACAAACCCGACACAGCGTTCGCACTCCCTTTAGCTGAGTGACGGGTATTAGATAGTCGGGACACCAACCCGACTATAGCGTTCTCTCTTGTTTTGTTTGATATTATGCAAAACGAGAGCAGATCTCAGGGTCTAACTAACCAGAGTTTTCCGTTGGTCAATGGTTTAGTCTCCGCCTAGAGTTGGGGGAAATATTCTAGGATTTAACATGCAAAGTAACGCTGACTTTTGAGTTTTTGGCCATAAAGTCCAAACTAATTTGCATTCGAACATCGGACGATTCTGAAAATCAATAGGCAAATAGATATGCAAAATTTTACAGCAATTCCGATGACGAGATGGGCAGAGGCTGCTGATCTCAGAGACCGGAAGGTGTCGGTGGGGGGAAACGCATGGAAACGGTGGCCTCCTAAAAACAAAACTGGAATTCTCCACATATTATCTAACTATTTATGACTGCTAAGTGGCCATAAAAGAACTTCGTAGTCGAAAGTCCCCAAAACTAAAGCCAAAGCCAAGTCCAAGTTCAACCCTCGACCGCCGAATAAATCAAGAATTAAATTTCATCGCCGGCTGCGGCAAACCGGTAGAAGATTATATAATATTTATACCCTTGCAGAGGGTATTATGATTTCAGTCAGAAGTTTGCAACGCAGTGAAGGAGACATTTCCGACCCCATAAAGTATATATATTCTTGATCAGCATCACAAGACGAGTCGATCTAGCCATGTCCGTCTGTCCGTCTGTCCGTCTGTCCGTCGCTTCCTTCTACCTGTTACATACTTTTGCACGAATCTAATATACCCTTTTACTCTACGAGTAACGGGTATAATTAATGGGAAAAAAATTATATCTTTGTTGGTTTTTATTACATTCCCTTCTACTCTGGGATATGACTATTTTGAAATATTTCCGAATTTCGATTTTAATTTTTAAAAGATCGAACTACTATATCATATAGCTGTGATAGAAACGATCGAAAAATTAATGTGAAATAATAAGAAATTTAACATTTTTGCGATTTGTAAATTAATAGAATTATCTGCAACGGTATATAAGCTTCGGCTTGCCGAAGCTAGCTTCCTTTCTTGTTTTATTCGCTTTTATTGTTTTATTTCAGTTTAGCGGGTGAAATTCGAGTAGAATTGCATTAACAGGTTAGTGGAGCAGTCATAAATCTACGTGCGGAATAATGTTTATAAAATTATTAACGCTGGCAGGCGAATAAAACAAGTTTAGAATTAGCATAGAGATCTAAAAGATAAAATAAAGTTGGATCGTTGAAAGCTTAGTTCCTGCTGTAAACAAATGATTTGTTATTCTGGCTGTATCCTTCTCCGCTGGGAATTGTAGAATGCCAGCAAGCCATGTGTGTTTCTTGCACAATATCTTCACACCCTCGAAAACACCATTGGCTGGGTTAGCTGGCTGGCTGCCTGGCTGCTCTGGTCGATTGAAAGTGCCGGCCTTGCAAAAACACTCGGCAAAGGCACTCGAAATAATGCAAATAAGTCAGACGAAATTCTCGTTAGTCAATATCTCAATATCCAACTGAATGAATGCATTTTTGGCGCGCAGCTCCGCCAAGAGCGATGACTGAACAGAAAACGCTGGGTAATTCGATAATGGCGTTCACTTGGAGTGCGAACCGGAGTCGCAGATGGCAGGTGCTCACATAATTAATAGAGCCCGGGCCAAATGATGATTCCAGTGGCCAAGTGGGTTAGACAAAGCCGAACTGGGCCAGCTATTTGGTCAAGAAGCCATTGATGTCGTCGTCCAACATTATGGCCAGATAATGACCGATATCTGCGGGCATTCAAACCGTCTAGTCATCGTTGCTAAAGGATTTTTGGGATGGGCCCTCCAACCGATAATCACGATCATCAACTGTTGCAAAAACTGCATCCCAAAACTGGTTTCCTTGGCTACAATGCCCATAATGTTCTTATGTATGAATCTGCCTGGTTGTCCTTGCCTCTAGGTTTGTTTACAAAGACTTGAATAAAAATAGCCAGAACAGGAGACAAAAGAAAAATCATATGGGGTAGACATTTAATCCACATTGATTTTTTTTATATTAATAATAAATTATTATTTCATAAATACAAGGTATCTTTGAATCTTTGATCTCATTGCTAAATTGTAAACTATTAATAAATACAAAAGAATAGGATGATAGGTTTTCAGATCCTAAAATTAATAAATGCATTATTTATAGAATGATTTAAATATGGGTAATATCTGTCACATTTTTTAAACCGAAAATGATTTGTGCTAGCAGACCAATAATCACAAGCAACCGGTTTCTTCTCTCCGATCAAAATGCCATTAAATTAATGATGCATATGCCTGGCAGTCTGTCCTTGGACTATCCTGCTTCCTGGGTTTTTCCAAAAAGCCTGAACACAAAAAACTAGCCACAGGGGAGGGGGCGGGGGAAAAGGGGAGAACCAGTGGCTAATTTGGCCAAGTTAACGCAGCCACAGCGATGAGCACGAAACCAGTTCTGTTCACGTAAGCCGCATCGTGTCCCTTGTTTTGGCCTGTTCACTGCCGTTGACTGCCACTTAACAATACATGTAAATCATAAGCTTGGAAAAAAGAATTAAACGCGCACCGGGTAATTGTAATTGCTGATGCGACAGTTTGGCTCTAAGAGCTCGAATTAGCCCTCGATAAATTACGAGCCTAAACTGTTTGGCTGGTGGCTTTTTCCGCAACTTCATCAGAAATCGCCAGGTTATTGGCATTCCGAAATTTGCAACGCTACGCCTGATTTACACGATTCCACTAATATGACATTTCGCACCCGCATCGATCGGGGGGTATTATGGGCATGCAAATATCGGCGTCTATATCTCTCTCCACATATATATATATATATATATATATATATATATATATATTCTGATCTGGCGAAGCGTAGGCGCGGTCTCGCCTTGGACAGCATTACTCTCAGCTTGTGTGTCTCGTTGATTAACAGGAAATGCTCACGGCGCGTAAATCAAACACAATCGAATGCGTTTTGCTTCTACCGCCTGATCCACGGTCGTAGAAGGTGCTAATCCACGGCACTGCATAATCCAAACTAATTTATTGATTACCCTACACTTCCACTTACACTTACAGTTTGCCAAGATGTCGGTCACTCTGAACGAGACGAACACTATTGTTGACCGGATGGTCAACTTCTTCGTGGAGCACGAGGATCTGCGCACCAAGGTGGGTATTTCTAGCAGCAAAACACTAATCAAATAAACAAATTTATTGTAAAAATTAAATGAAAGTATTGTTATATTTTTAGAAGCGGGTTTATGGGAATTATTTATTATATTTGAAAGATGAAATGGTGTTTAGAACTGGATTTAACTATCCTGTTTATTGTTTCATAGTCGATTTTGTTTTTCTTAAATAAATAAACCAGTTCTTTATCAAAGCTATATTAATAAAGAAAGCATGCCAGTTTATGTTATCTGTTCAAATTAGTTCTGATTTATGTCTCATACTTAAAAATAATATTTAAATATTTTAATTAAATCTGTTAGTTCTAAAGAGGTTGGTTGACAATATAATGAAAATATATTTTTTGGTTTACTTTAGAACTGGTTCCTTTCGAACGCCCCCGGACCGCTGTTCATGATCCTTGGGGCCTACCTGTACTTCTGCCTGTACGCCGGACCCCGGTACATGCGCGATCGCAAGCCCTTCGAGCTGAAGAACACACTGCTGGTCTACAACGCCGTCCAGGTGCTTCTCAGCTGGGTGCTCTTCTACGAGGGCTACAAGGGCGGCTGGGGCGGCCACTACAACTTCAAGTGCCAGCCGGTGACCTACGAATCGGATCCGATTTCCATGAGGGTATGTTTGGTTATCACCTCTTATTTTTTTAGCCCTTCTAATACATTTATTACCCATTTCAGATGGCTCGTGCCGTGTGGCTGTACTACATTGCCAAGATCACCGAGCTGCTGGACACCGTGTTCTTTGTGCTGCGCAAGAAACAGCGCCAGATCTCGTTCCTCCACCTGTACCACCACTCCCTGATGCCCGTGTGCGCCTTCATTGGCGTCAAGTACTTCGCCGGTGGCCATGGAACCCTGCTGGGCTTCATCAACTCCTTCATCCACATCATTATGTACGCCTACTACCTGCTCTCCGCGATGGGACCCAAGGTGCAGAAGTATCTGTGGTGGAAGAAGTACATCACCATCCTGCAGATTGTGAGTAGTTCCCCCTGTTCGATAATCATGGGTTTGTGCTGAAATCTCCCCCTCTCTTTTAGGTCCAATTCCTGATCATCTTCGTGCACACGCTGCAGATCCAGTTCCAGCCCAACTGCAACTTCCCCAAGTCCATTGCCGCCCTGTTGACCTTCAATGCCGGCCTCTTCACCTACATGTTCAGTGCCTTCTATGTGGCCAACTACAAAAAGGAGGCAGCTGCCCAGGCCAAGCTGGCGGCGAAAAAGGAGTAGGAAGCGACGTTAGTTGGCGCTACCTTAAGCTATGCACACTTATTTTTATGGTCCCCCCTTAAAACGTAATCCCAGATCCCATATCCCTCCCATCCTCCCTCCCAACCCCCTCCAATATCCTCCCCCTAGGTATACATAGGTCAAGATGGATATTATACAATCTGTAGTTGCGTAAGCTTGTTTCGTAGTATTTCGTTAGATCGAGGATAGCGGCCCCTTTTGTACTTGTTTGGATCAGTCGCCATTGCAGAGGGCAAGAGATCGTTGCACTTTCTGTATTGGGATAGTGTAATAGTACCAAATATTATAGTTTAGTGATTAGACTTTATCCTATGGACTGTGAAAGTCGAAGGCAAGGTTGGACAGGCGAATGGCGAGCAAATATCGGAGAACTCTGAACTTTTGCCTGTCGGGGAAATAAACGGCGAACTGTCCACTGCCTTTGTCATGCCCAATTTTATGAAGAAATGTAATTTTGTATATTTTATTTGCAAACAATAAACAAACGATTCATATGTAAGCTCCGATTGTCTCTATTTACTTACACGATTTCTACATATAAATATTCTGACGGAACCTAAAAGTATGGTACAAAATAATAAATATAGGAGCTGTTTCGCTCCATGTACAGACTTAAATTCTTTGTCTTGTTGTCAGTCTCAATTTTCTTGTGGTTGGAATAACAACATCCCCGGCTCACCTGATAAGAAACTTTGATAATCTAAAATAACAATGGCATCGGAAATCGAGACTCTTCTCTTACGAAATCTTGTTCCTATTATAGATTTAGCGGAGTGCATTGAGAATGTGGCCGACAATTTAAGGAAGGCTCTTTCAGAAAAGGGTTATGCTCTGCTAATAAACCATGGAATAACAAACGAGAAGGTACATATATAAAATAACATATTACTTAGAAACTACAAAACTTATTGAAATCCTCATAGATCAAGACAGCTTGGGAGTATTTTGATAAATTTGTTGACCTACCAAAAGAGGTAAAGTTGTCTTACAAAAGAGGCAAAGCTCCAGATGCCGAGAATCACGGCTATGTGAGCCCTGGAATGGAGCGATTCGATGGCAGGACACCGGAGCTACGACATGCGTACAATATATGCAAGTTGCAGGCTGAATTTCTGCCCGAAAAGGAGCTGCCTGGAATTACCAGCCACATTAACACATTGACCGATGACTTTAATGCCTTGGGAAGATTTATTCTTAAGGCATTGGCACTTTCCTTGGATGCTCCGCCGTCGTTCTTCCTCGATAAGCATTCCTACATGTTGTCCGACGATCGCTTCAGTCTCACTACCCTGCGAATGCTCTACTATCCACCGGTGGAAGATCAGGATAATGGCAACGCCATCCGGTGTGGAGCCCATGCCGACTATTGCACCTTCACCCTGCTGGTCCAGGATTCGGAGGGTGGCTTGGAGGTAAAACTGCGGGGCAGTGACAAATGGGAGCGAGTGGGTCATCTGCAGGGAGCACTCTTCATGAACTGCGGCGAAACCATGGCTGTGTGGACAGATCAGCTTTATCACGCTTTGGTGGGGATATAGACCCAATCTAAAGGTATCCCAGCTTTTATATGATCTCTTTTTCACAGCAACATCGAGAGGTTGTTCCTGATCAACTGGATACTCGCCGAAGGGGAAGGCACTCCATTGCCTATTTTTGTCATCCTGATAACTCCACGCTGATTGATCCAAAGGAGTTGAAAATTCCAGTTAAGGTGTCATCAACTCAAATGTGAGTCTGTCTTTTAAAGGTTGTAAATTGCCTGACCAATTGTTTGTTGTATTCTTTCTAGGATTTATAACGCATACGATATTTCTATGGCTTTGGCAAAAAACGCATATGGACATAATTTTTTCTAACAAAATATTAATATTCTTAGGAAGTTTTTATATACTAATTTTTGTAAAAAATATATGTAAATAAATGTATATGGTGCTATATTTTACATGTAATTCAGTACAAATTTATTTTTCATACACCCTTAGAATATGCAATGCAGTACGAGCGCGATCGGTGAAAGATATGTATGTAGGTACCGATTAGAAAATAATGCAAACGCGGTTCTCTGTTTGGGTCAGTCTGCCGGAGTAGCTTGTCGTGTTCGCATCGGTTTTTCTGAGGTCCGAGCTAGCAGAAAATTTCCAGACGCAATCTTTTTCGTATTTGATTTACCTCCCCAGCGTGTATTTGCCAAGAATGATAAACAGCAAGATAAGAGAGGACAAGTTGGAAACGCTTGTTTCGCGAAGTGCTGTGCCGATCATCGATCTCGCCCATTGCGGTAAGTTTCCACATCCCATCCCATTTAAATAAGTAGATTGAAATTTAGAACTAAATTAATATGAAAAAGAGGTGTAACCACCACCATCCCTTTAAGCAAAATATTTGATAAAGGTAATTATAAGACAAGCGATGATAAGTCCGGCAATATATATATATATATATATATCAAAATATATATTAAATAATAATATTATGTCTTTCAATTTCCAGGCAAGTCCCTTGTCAATCGGGTGGGCCAGCAACTTCATAAGGCATTCACCGAAAAGGGAATTGCTTTCCTGGTTAACCATGGGATAGCTGAAGACAAGGTGAGTTACGATACCCAATGTGGGAATCATTTCTAATCTTTTTCGTAATAGATCAAAGCTGTGTGGGACCAATTCGACAACTTCTTGGATTTACCAGCAGAGGTTCAGGACCGCTACAGGCGAAGAGATGGGGTTAATTACGGATATGTCAGTCCGGGGATGGAGCGATTCGATGGAAGCACCCCAGAGCTCCGACACGCCTACAATATTTGCAAGCTGGATGAGCAGAATATTCCAAGGGATCCATTGCCAGAATTCGCAGAAGACATCACGACCTTGTGCGGGGACTTGAAAGCCATGTCTTCGTTTATACTGAAGGCCATGGAGGTGGCCCTGGAGATTCCCCCGTCCTTCTTCACCGACAATCACTCCCAAATGTTGGAGGGGGATGAGGTCAACATCAGCACCCTAAGGATGCTCTACTACCCGGCGATTGTGGACGACGAACCCGGTCAGAGTGAGGGAGCCATTCGATGTGGTGCCCACGTGGACTACGGAACCTTTACCCTTCTTGCCCAGGATTCTGAGGGAGGACTGGAGGTGCAACTACCGGGCAGTGAGAAATGGGAACGAGTGGGCCATCTACCTGGAGCCATACTCATAAATGGCGGGGAACTCCTGTCCATTTGGACGAAGAAGCGTTACCACGCATTGGTAGGTTATTCTGGAAAACTGGGAATTTTCCCAATTTGCTTATCGTATGTTTAACATGCATTTTCTCTTCAGCCTCATCGCGTTGTTATACCTGAACAAGATCATATTCGAACCCGCGGCAGACATTCGATTGCCTATTTTTGCCATCCCAATAACTCGACTAAGATATCCCCGAATGATGTCTCGGGTGAGGACGACCAACAGAGTGAAGACAAGTAAGTTTTGTACTATGTAATTTTAAATATTATCTAATATTTTTATTTTTTAAACCCCAAGAGTATACACCGCCTATGAACTGATACAGAAAAAGTTTAATGACACCTACGGTCAGCGATCTCAATAAATCAACGAATCTGGGGCAAGCACTTATTACAGCTCTATCCTCATGAAAGTCATTAGCAATTGTAACTAAATTGTACTTTTTTAATAAAGCAGAAATACAATTTATTTTGTTTAAATTGAAATAAATTATGGCTTTCATCTATTTCTAACTACTACCTTGAAGCACAGATGTTGAAAAATGATTTAAGTTCAGAACTTTTTTATTTATTTTTTGTTTTTTTTTTTTATTTACCCAATTAGGTGAATTTTAGTCATCAGGTTCTCTGTTATTTTTTAAATTTAAATTTTTTACATGAACTTCAATGTGTAAAAATCTTTAAGTTTTAATATACATTTTACACGATTTTAGAGATACTCTTTCTTGCCAAAACATCGATAGTCCCCACTGCGACTACCGATAGAAGCGGTATCGTTTTCGAACTGGATCCGAAACGACCGACGATCGCGGATCGCAAATGTTTTTTTTGAGACAGACGCCGTTCCTCTCTGCGCTAGTTCAGGTGTATCTAGGTTAAATTCGCGAGTGGAGTGTGTTACAAAATGATGGAAAGTGTGCAAAAAAAGCATCAGAAAGCGATACGAAAATTGACTAAGTAGATTGTTGGCCAACTGGTGTGCTGTCGTCTCGTCGGGTCGGGTGTTCGATGAAAAGCGAAACCTGTGCGAAAAAAGAAAGCGAGTTTTCACTGTAAGCAAAAGCCATCGGTATAAATCACAACATTTTAGCTGAATAGGCGCTTCGAGTAGTTTTAGTGAGTGTTCGTTGGCGTAGTGTTTTTGCAACGAAAGGCGAGGCGAACGCTTACTCATGCCCCGAGTATACCTATGCATAAAACCCCGAACCCTACCCCTACCCCTTGAAGCCGAATCCATGCAGACTGACAGGCTGAAAGACCAGACTTTGTTCATCCGGCATTTCCTGAACAAAGTCGCTTGGCAACAGCGGCGGGCGATCGCTCAGCTGGTTTATTTAGGGGGTGAAAAGAAAAGAAAGGCAGGAGGGCTCACACCTGAGTCCGAGTGCCGTTAAACGGCAAACGGGATCCGCCAGATACAAAGTACGAGATATAAGATACAAGATACATGCCAGAGCAGACTCACACCGCAACCAGAGTATCTGTATCTCGTATATGCATACCCACATCTGTTCGTATGTATTTACCTGAGCCACGTTAATAGCCATCACAAATATTGCGAAAGCAAACCGAGACGGGGCTACCTGTTGACGGCTTTAGATAGTCTCACCTTTCGGCCCTGCTCACCATAAGCCGGAATACCCGCTGTGCTTTCGTGAGTACTCAGCTCTAGACCCCCTCTAGAACCCCTCCCCCCGAAAGACAAGTGCTAATTTAGTTATCACAATTTTTGATTTGATTAAATTTTATCTAATTGCGACGCACATGCAGGCATACATCGCATACCTCGCAATCAGTTGGTTTTTGCAAAATAAAATCGTAAACCGCGGCAAGAGTGTAGCCAGTCAGGTGCGATAAGCGTTGGAACCCAGAACTTAGGACCCCAAATCGGAGCCCCCCAAAAGAAACGGGTGCTCAGTCCGCCCAAGAAGCGCGCCGCGATTGTTCGATCGCCTCTCGTCCGCCACGCGCCCTTCTAAAATCACCAATCACCCAATCAGCCGTTCGTATTTCGGATCGTAAACCCCAAAGACCCCCCTTAGTGCCCGATTCTGCTGTCAAAGCGTTTGCTCGCCAGCCAAACAAAAACAATAGCCGTTGCAAAAACAAAATACGAAAGTTTAAACAAAAATAAAACAAGAGAGAACGCTATAGTCGGGTGCCCCGACTATCAGATACCCGTTACTAAGCTAAAGGGAATGCGAAGGAGATGGAGATAAAAACTTGGATCCGCCGTAACTTATTAACGAATGGTCCGATTTAAAAAATGTCTTCTACATTTCGATAGTTATTAATAAACACAACAAAACTGCATTTGTACTTTTCCAAAATATTGAAATTTTTAAAATCGTATATTAGCGATTGTGGGCGTTAGAGGGGGCGTGGCACCCCTTTGAAACAAACTTGCGCTGCGTAGGAACTCCTAGAATCTGCATGCAAAATGTCAATCTTCTAGCTTTTATAGTTTCCGAGATCTCAGCGTTCATACGGACAGACAGACAGACAGACAGACAGACGGACAGACAGACGGACAGACGGACATGGCTAGATCGACTCGGCTAGTGATCCTGATCAAGAATATATATAGTTTATAGGGTCGGAAACGCTTCCTTCTACCTGTTACATACTTTTGCACGAATCTAATATACCCTTTTACTCTACGAGTAACGGGTATAAACACTCGGATGCGCGATTTGAATGTTTGCTTTTTTCGCCTTTTTCGGCCGGCTCAACCAGTCTAATAATCGAATTCTGTGCGTTGCTGTCATTCAGTTTTATTTAGTCAGCCATCGCTGGAAGTGCACCACGTCTCCGGATCCCCTCCGGCTCCCAGTCCCCTAGTTTGTGATAAAGATAAAGCGAGCACAAGTGCGGCGAGTGTTCGATCGCTACGGCAATCAAAAACCAAAGAACTTTAGACGTCGAAGACCCTCTGGAAAAACCGAGAAGCACACAAAAATAACAACAAAAGCACAGAGCTCGCACAAAATGATAAAAACAAAGAGCAGCGACGACAAACTCGACACGCTCCTCTCGCGCAGCGTTGTTCCGATCATCGATCTCGCCCACTGTGGTAAGTACCCCCATACCCCCTCTATGTATACATATATTTAGTGCTCCTCCATAACACCACCCCATCCCATAAAACATGCGGCTGATCGCCACTCCAACTCGTTGCTAGGCCAGCGATTTCAGCCAGCATTCGTATTCGTGCACAGAGAAAAAAGGCGGGACCTGGCCATCAATGGGCCGGTTTTTCCATTCAAAAATAACACTTAGCTGTGACTTGTCTCGAAAAGGTGAAAATGATTAGCCACGATAAGTTCTATGCCACTTCCACGGCTAATTTTGTTGTGAAATAAAACCATCTGGGCAAACAGAAAATTTAATCTGTTTTCTATAACATTTTTGTTTTGGGTTTTTATTGCTTTTATGCTAATATGACTCTTAATTCTAAAGCAAATATTGACAATAAAGTTGTAGTAACTTTATACCTTGTGTTTTATAAGTAGAATTGTTTTCGTATTTTTTATTACTAGTGTAAAGTTAATCTGGGCAGTGAAATAAACGCAGTAAAAACACACACAGTAGAGTTTGGAATGTTTAAAAAATAAGTTTGGATATGCTTTAATCACAAAAATTTCCAGAAATTTACATAAAAAACAGAAAAACAAAATTCTTAAAAATGAAATGATTCATCGATTCGCATAGTAATAGCCCATTACAGAATAATAGCCCAATAAAGAATTCAACTTTTTAAAAATATATATTTAGCTTTCCACTGATTTTTTTATTCCAATATATGTATTTAAATATATTAAATATTTATAAAATGCTATAAAATGTTTAATACCGATAAGTTTATTTTTAATTCAGTGGCATACAAAATAATTAATATATTTAATGTTATTTTTTTCGGTGCACTTGTAAACTCCGCACTCAGCTGGGCTTAATTAAGTGCAGTCGTCATTGAGTCATCGACAGTTCTGTTTGGCTGACTATTCCCAATTGTTCAGGGCTAACCGTGCTCCCCTAATTGCAGTTACTTAATTTTGTTCGTAGTAACTACGTCGTAGTTAATTAAAAGTAATTATTGACTTGTGCAACCGACACCTGATCTTTGGGGTTCTCTGTGAATACAAATGAATAATGCAAATGTGATCTTCGAGTTGGCTAGGGGAAATCTGACTAAGAAATTACGAAGAATTTATACCTTATCGCGTTAAGTCAAGTAATTGAAAGTAGATAGTTAATCTATGAAGTACTTTAATATAACACTTATGAATATGTATTAAAACCCGGCAGCTATCACGCTATTATAGCCTGGTATTTTGGTGCTATATTTTGGTGTTATAAATCATGAGTAATTTTTGAGTGATTGCTCTATAAATCATCGATGGCTTAGATTTATATTCAAGTTTTCCCTGTTGTAGAAAATTATGAATGCGATACAGTGCTTATAATATAGATCGATATGGTGTAATAAACCAAATTTATAAATATTTATGTGCACATGTATAAACCTATAAATAATGTATAATTTTGATGGAAAAAAACTCTACCAGCTTTGTAAGATTAATAGTATTTCTGGAGTATGCATGATGCTTGTAATTGAGGTAGTGCAGTTAATATTATCTTTGAGATGCCTAAAAAGAAAGATATTTTTTTGAATGCCCACTTTGTTTGAGTTTGTCCCAGATTAGTAGGGTGATCTTTGAATAACCTTTCAGATACCTGGGTTAAAATTCGTTCCAACAGATTTAATGGCTTTGTTCTGTTCAGCGCTTCTTCTGCCCTTCTTAGGCCACACCAAAATTTTCCATTTGCCTATTTCGGAGCCGTGCCCATTTTGTTAACTGGGTCTTTGCCGATACGTGACACAGTTTCTCCTCCTCCGGTGGGTAATAATGTAATGCGCCATGGAAAAGTGGCGCATACGCACTGCCCGCTTATCTGGCCGTAAGTTTAGCCGAGGGCTCACCCAATGATTCGAGCTCACGGCGAGTACAGTGCGGCCTGGCCTTGGTGGAAGCACTCTCTTGACCTTCTCGCCCATCCAGAGCCATTGACCCCCAATTCAGCTAGAAGCAATTAAATCGCTGCCTTGCGGCCTTTTTATGTCAACGGAACTTCAATTGGATTTTTTCTTTCCTTTGTTTTGTTTACTTATTTGTTGGCCCCATGGAGGTTGGAGAGGTTTTTGAACTACTTACGCACATGTATTGGAAGTCGGACTTGTGGCATTTGTGGAATGTTTTGATTTCTATGGCCCAAAGTCACCAGGAAACTCAAACAAAACGCATCAAAATATTTACAATTGTTTGAGTTACGAAACCTGATTTTTTTGTGAATGCAATAAGCATGCATTATTTGTTTACTGGTGGCAGCTTTATTTACACGCAGCCACTGCCGGTGACCAGTTGTGTACCCGTTTCGGAGTTACCAGTTTGGAAACGGCCATTTAGTGACGCATCTTGTTT